GGGGGGTGTGTGTGTAGAGGCCTGCCCTTGTACCATCCATTTCTCCCAAACCTCTTCCTCCTGTAGAGTCAGAAGGGAATCCACAGTGCATGCAATGTCTTTTGGAAGGTTATTCAGAGAATTACTCACAAAACCATAACGGAGTACAGTGGTTGCTTCTGGTGAAGAGCCAGGACCTGGTGTCTTAGGGTCTCCTTATCATCTGATTACATTCAGAGAGCATCCTTTCAACTGAGATCAGTTTAAAACATGTTTCACAAACGAAAGCCTTGATAAGCGGAAATACCATCTTTCTTTTTTTTCTTCTTCTTGTCACTTTCCTCCGGAAAGGGCCCTCTTTTTCCCAAAGTGGTGCTTTATATTGACTATCTTACTACAGTGTTTCCCGAGTTCGATTCTGCAGGGCACGCCAAGACTGTTGACTTTCCCAAAGATTCATGACTTGGTCAGACGTTGGGATTCACGCGGAGTGAAGCGGCTTCCTTGGGCTGAGGCCCTCCTCAGGACTGCAACATGGCAGTGAGCTCTCTAGAGCAGCGGTTCTCCACCTTCCGCATGCCGCGGCCGGTTCATACAGCTCCTCACGTGGTGGTGACCCCCAACCATAAAAGTATTTTCGTTGCTACTTCATCACTGTCATTTTGCTACTGTGATGAATCAGGAGACCCCTGTGAAAGGGTCCTTCAATCCCCAAAGGGGATGCAACCCACGGGGTGAGAACCACTGCTCTAGCTGAGGGCCCAGAATGACGAGTATCTGCTTCTTGTTTAGAAGTTTATTTCACTCTCATTTTTGTGAAGCGTGGTGGGTGACATTTAAAATTTTTTTAACATATTAAAATTTGTTTTCCCTCTAGCCCATTTGTTTTGGATTTTTTTAATCGTTTTATTAGAGGCTCATACAACTCTTATCACAATCCATACATACATCAATTGTGTAAAGCACATTTGTGCATTCATTGCCCTCATCACTCTCAAAACATTTCCTCTCCACTTAAGCCCCTGGCATCAGGCCCTCATTTTTCCCTTCCCTCCCCGCTCCCCCATCCCTCGTGAACCCTTGATAATTTATAAATTATTATTTTGTCATATCTTGCCCTGTCCGACGTCTCCCTTCACCCACTCTTCTGTTGTCTGTCCCCCAGGGAGGAGGTCACATGTAGATCCTTGTAATCGGTTCCTCCTTTCCAACCTACCCTCCCTCTACCTTCCCAGTATCGCCACTCTCACCACTAGTCCTGAAGGGATCATCCGCCCTGGGTTCCTTGCATTTCTAGTTCCTATCTGTCCTTTCCAACCTACCCTCCCTCTACCTTCCCCGTATCGCCACTCTCACCACTAGTCCTGAAGGGATCATCCGCCCTGGGTTCCCTGCATTTCTAGTTCCTATCTGTCCCAGTGTACATCCTCTGGTCTACCCAGATTTGTAAGGTAGAATTGGGATCATAATAGTGGGAGAGCAGGAAGCATTTAGGAACTAGAGGAAAGTTGTATGTTTCATCGTTGCTACATCACACCCTGACTGGCTTGTCTCCTCTCCGAGACCCTTCTATAAGGGGATGTCCAGTGGCCAACAGATGGGCTTTGGGTCTCCACTCCAAACTCCCCCACTCATTTACTATGATAAAATTTTTTTGTTCTGATGATGCCTGATACCTGAGCCCTTCGACACCTCATGATAGCACAGACTGGTATGCTTCTTCCATGTGAGCTTTGATGCTTCTGAGCTAGATGGCCTCTTGTTTACCTTCAAGCCTTTAAGACCCCAGATGCTATATCTTTTGATAGCTGGGCACCATCAGCTTTCTTTACCATATTTTCTTATTCACCCGCTTTGTCTTCAGCAGTTGTGTCGGGAGGGTGAGCATCATAGAATGCCAATTTAATAGAAGAAAGTATTCTTGCATTGAGGGAGTACTTGAGTGGAGGCCCAATGTCCTTCTGCTACCTTAATACTAAACCTATAAATATATGCACATAGATCTCTCTCCCCATGAGTAACATGGGAAGGGATACGATTTTGAATCTAAATTCCTCCACTAAAATTGTTTTGTTTGGTTTTGTTTTTAAATAAAGGAAAAGGGAAAATGATAAACCAGCCGAAGGTTTCAAAGCAGGTTGGTGACAGATCAAGGCCTGGACAGCTGGTCTCCCGCTGCGTATCAGCGGCCTTCACACCACCCGCATGCCAGCCCACATCGATCTTCCACCCCGGAGACAACTAGATCCATACTAATAATAATATTACCTTGCTTTTATAGAGTATCTGTCCTCCAAAATGCTCACAGCACTTTCATATGTATTGCCTCATTCATCTCACTCGAGTAGCTCGAACGAGCTCCAAGTGAGTAAAGGAAGGAAGACTGCACTGGACGGGCCATCTGGAAGGCCACAGGCTCTTCATGGCAACAGCAGTGTTCACACTCGCGCCCCAGCCCACCCCACCCCTACCCTCTCCGGCCATTCTCTTACACTGTAATCGAATTTCTCTCCTTTAGGTTTTGATGAGTTCAGGAAACTGTGGTCTTTCAGGAGCTGAGAACAATGGCAGGGGATAATTAAAGAAATCTGGGCTTGAAAGCAAAGCGCTGGTTTGCCTCGCTTCTTTTGGTTGGTGAGTCTCTTTGTTCATTCCCAGTCCCAGCAGTCCTGGCTTTTGATGGGAGGCCACGGAATACATGAGCCTTTCTTGTAGATCACACCCCGCAAGCCGAGGCTTCTCTTTGAAGGAGGAATGGGGTTACAATGAAGCATCTCGTTGCCTTCAATCATAAATACCTCCTTGGATCAAATTATATATTCAGTTGCTGTACTGGCTCTTTTTTGCTGGGAACAAGCTAAACTAATCACTATGTTCTAGCCTCAGACCTCAAATGAGGCTAAGTAGCTGAGCATGTTCACGTGGGAGAACAGGAGTGGGGCAGGAGGCTGCATATGATTCATAGTAACTCTCTCCCTTTCAGATGGACAGGTTGCCACTGGGGCAGCTGTCTGCAGGGAACCATGGGAAGCTTATAAAAAAGCCAAGCAAAGTTCCTGTTAGCTATCATGTCAGTAACCACTCCACATGCTCCTTTGAGTTTAAGCGGCCACTGCAGGGGCTCCTGAGGTTAACAGGATATTTTTCTTCTTCTTAATACCCTGAAAATGTATTTAACCTTTTATCTATCTATCTATCTATCTATCTATCTATCTATCATCTATCTATCGCTACATTTTAATCATAGAAATGGTTAACTTATCTTAAGAAAGCAATGTGTAATGCATCAGGTAGTAACTTGGGAGTCAGGAGGGCATCGTTTGTAGCTTCAATTCCTCTTCACACAGCTGCCTGCTCTTGGCCAAGGGTAATTCCATTCAAAGAGCATATTTCTAAGCGTGAACATGAGATGAGCCATTCTAATGTGCTGTTTCCAGATTTGGTCTCAACTCCCATGTGTGGTTTGAACAGGAGTATTTCAATGCATTAAACAGAGGTCTCATTTTCTAACTTCTGTATCTTGAAAACCAGGTACTGAATTGTTGATTAACCACAGGAACAGCGATTCAATTCACAGAGCAAGAGAAACAACACACACACACACACACACACAGCTCTGTGGGTACATTAAGATTATGCTCATCTTTTTTGGACATTCCTAAGAGGTTTCCAAAGGAAATTTTGACAGCACTCTGTTTTCCTTTTACATACTGACTTAATACATTTTCGTCTAAAACACAGCTGTTGCCATTCTTGTCTTATT